TCGGAGAAGCTCGTCATTGCATGATGTCGAATCTACAAGAGATGTCGGATCACATCTTGGTGAGCTTGTCAGATAACATCGATAATCACTTTCGCATTTGCACTCCATCGCACGCATCGACTTCGGAGTCGACTCTGCGACGACGAGAAGGACCAGGTTTTAACAAATGCAACTTGTTTAGCCCAGTCTTGTTGTGAATGGCAATGGTGGCCGGCTTGTTCGATTCGGTGCACCTCGGCAAGCCTACAAGTCATCCATGACATGTGCGATACATCATCACAGCATGTGCGCACCGTTAACAGAAGGGCACAAGTTGATTCGCAGCCGCGTGATTGGGGCCACGTCCGGTGAGGTGGATTCAAACTCCATGATCTTGGTGTTCAACGTAAATGTCACTTTGCTGACGGGGAGCTCGCCACACGCGTTGTTTGGGGCAGGGGGGCTGCGGAATCGCACGGCACCGCCGTATCATTTTCGAGACGATAGTGCCCAGGACTTCCTCGTTGAGCGGGTCGTGACTATCAAATACGACTTGGGACGCGACGGCGACATGGACGAGACCGGCAAGGACCTTCATGGCAGTGGAAATTGTTCAAATGACGGTCGGGGTGTTGAGCCAACATTGGTCCCATGGGGTGACGATCCCAACGCACCGCGACAGTGTCCCAGCCGTCACGACGACATGCAATGATTCCATCCTCGAATTTCCCATACCCATCACCGTCCACACAATGCGACACAGACGAGACTTGATCGTGACCGTGCTCTGTCGTGTGATTCCTCTGCATGAAGTGGTACAGTCTAAAATGGCTTCTTTGCCGCTTATCCCGGCGACACACGCGAGATATGCAATGGGTCCCATGGGGTAACGAACCACATGCACGGTGACAGTCGTCCCAGCCATCGCGACTGGAGACACGACGAAGGCCATCATGTTCGTCTCACAGTTGGAATGGTTTGTTTATAATCCTGTTACACATTCGTCGGACGCCCCCACCAATAGGTTTCAACATGGTGGTGTCATGACCATCCATCTTTTTATGACGGTCAGAATATAAAGTCTGACGGGCAGTCCATTCAGTATGTATATTTGGCGGCGTCGTGGATACGGTCCCCCTTGTCGACCACCAGCGGCAAGTACTGGGGTGGGGGCTCGACCTGCGGCAGATCGCCATCAAGCGTTGCGCATGGCGAGTGCTTCAGCGCGGAGCTTCTCCACCATGGGCTTCCAATATTCAAAGCTTCGGAACTCCCTGACCCCAAACAGCGTCGTCACGTTTCGTGTGTATCTATAATAACTTAGCCAGCATTGCGACGTGACGAGGCCGGTCATGGTCCATCGGGCACAGTGAACTCGGGAAATACTGTACTACTTCCTCTGTTCCACATTTCTTTTACGTTCGACTTTTGAACGACCCCAAAAATTGATTTGACGACATATTTTCAAACAAATTATCATTTTATAAAGAGCATAAAAAACTACAGAAGGCATCCATTGGATGCAAAGCGCCACAGCTCGAGTTTCGCGCTCAAAACTCAACAGCAAATTCCAACCACCGAAAAAAAATACCCCACATAATCCAACAC